GATAGAGCTGCTGAGCGGGCGGCTACGACGACGCCCCCCTCAACAACAAGCAGAGCGGATAGCTGATGAGGCAACGACGCGGGGCCGCGGCGGCAGAGCCATTGGCACCGTTGATTGTCCGAGTCAACGGGCGCGTCACCGCCGCCAGCCGCCCCTTATCTCGTGTGTCACTGTGCCACCGCCGAGGGGCCGAGGGCAGTGACGCGTCCGGTGGGGATAACGTCATCGACCATTGCGGCAGCCACTAAGTTATTATTATTTATTTATTTTCACGGACACCCCTTTCCATTTTCCTCCCATTGTGTATTTCATTTTATTTTTCAGTAAAATAATAACTGCCTTCCCCTCACGTCACAGAGTCCCCCTCCCTCCCCTCCGCCGCTGCCGCTTGGGGCGTAATGGACGGCCTGGCCATCTGTCTTCTGTCCAGGGTCAGCGCCAGAGACCCGGGGGCACTTGGCTGTCACCTTGGGCGCGGGCGGCGCCACCGGCACCACCCCGTCGTGCATTTGCCACACAAACTTTACAAAGGGAGGTCTTCTCACCCCCCAACAAAACAGGCCAAGTGTATAATGATGATGAAGTGATTGAAAGTTACACTTTCTGTGGTATTGTAGAGCACACCTGGGTGGGCAGGGCAGTGAACGACGTTCCTCACCCCATGCATGCATGCATGCATGCTGCGCATTGCTACGCACTGCTACGCACACTTCAGTAGTAAAAGAAGAGAAACATCCGATTGCGCACAGGTGTTTCTGAAAGCTATCGGAATCCCATGAATACAACGGCCGTGCTTCGGCTTCGGGTATATCCTTTGCTGTGCTGACCTTGCCCCACACAATCCCAAAACTATTTCCGTCGGAAATCCGTTAATTTTATTTCAATATTCTAGACAATATCGTGTGGCTGCAACCAACGGCGCGCGCCGTTTCATAGCATCATAGCGAACGGCGCTGGTGTGCAATCGTGATTACGCGGCCTGAAAGCCGCAAATAAGCAAACGCCGAGCCGGTTGTTGTCAAAATAGCGCCACACCGCCCCGTCCCGTCGTCAATGCCTGAGGCGCGTGGCAGTGGCGGGGCGGGGCGGGGCGGGACCGGACGGGGCGGCACGGTGCGACAAACATCCTGCGCACGACGAGTCCTCAGCCATCCTGGCAGAGAGGATAAGGATGCCTGCCTATACACCGCACAAGTCGGGCATAAGCAGCGAGGTGAGCTTCCGCACCAATCCTCCTAAAGCCCGCGCACCACGAGCAGCCCAAAAATGTGTCAGCACCCGAGAGGGGGAAAACCACTTGCGAAATATAGCTCGTACACCTGCACACGAAATAAATAATGCGAAACAGACGCAAAGTCATTGGAAACGGCAGTGAAATGCCACGAAATATAGCCCTTACGCTGTGTTTGCCGAGTAATTTTCCCCCCGGTCAGCCAGCACGCGCCTTCATCTCATCAAGCTGCGGTGGGCCGTTGGGCCGGGGAGGGGGCTACTACCCCCCCCCCCCCTTCCTCCTCCCCAGACCGGCGCTAACTCAATCGTCGACAGTACGGCGCGAGACATTTTCCACTCACGCGACTCATTCATCTCTATTGTGGGGGAGTTGGGGAGGGGGGGAGGAGGGGGAGTTTCGCTTTCTGCACACACACACACACACATTCACTCGCGTACAGGACGTTGAGTGACTTTTCCACGCCGGCGACGATCAGTCTAGAAAGAAAGTGTACTACTGCTTCGACTACAATACATCCCGCTGAGGCTATTCAGCTGAATAGGTTCTGGAAATAAGAGGGTGCGTAGCACCACAATCTTGCGTTCGGAAATATTCTGAACTACGGCTGTAGAGTCCTTTTGCAGCCGGTGCATACAGGATACAGGTGTTTCAAGCCGACCTTTATCCTAGTAATACTGTACCCCCAATGCGGGGCGGCCTTGCCTATCGACCTTACGGCCCCCGTGCGAGTACGCAATCCCCGTCCGCATACGCCTGCGTCCGCGGTACAACAGTCTAACCAGAAGTAAAAACAGCAACGGCTTAGAACACCCGCACCCTGCGGTATAGCGCCACTTGGCCGTATCGAAGCTTTTACGCAATGCGTCCGCGCCACACCACGCCACGCCATCGCCGCGCGAGTATTGTTTTGCGTTGCGTCACAGTCACAGGGCGCCCAGCTGGCGTGGTGGGTACTGCAGCAACGAGGCAGATTGCTTCGAGCGGAAGATGGAAAAGGGGGG